GGCAACCTGTGCCAGTCCCTCACCACCCTCATAGTGAAGAATTTCTACTAACATCTATTCTGCTATATATTTTGTTTTACAGATCGCAAGTCCAATATGCCCTATAAATTCCTCGTTCCCTGGATCGGTAAGTCATTCTCTTCCATTATCACTTCCAGTCATATTGCACATTTCAGTGGCTTCTCTCTTGTTTTCCTTTATTTTGCTTTCTTCCATTCTAAAACCAGAGCTTGCAAATGAGAGGGTTAGTTTGAGTGTGAGTGTTAGTACTGGTATTGCCCACCTAGTTGCAGAGCACATCAGGTGGCTTTGCCTTGGATCACACACCCTGGCCTTCACAAAGCAACCTTCAGTTTGCTCAGGGGCTGAATGCTACCATGAATAACTGGGGTGAGATGATACACCAAGGACAGGGAGGTTCATGGCTTGCACACATCTTTGAGGTAGCCTTCCAAGGTCCTGCTAACAACTGTCAGTGTGGGCTGCAAAAGGCACTCAAGTACATAATTTAGGGCAGAAAAACCCATCTGAGAGAGCAAGCCCTGTGCTTCTGCCATCGAGGCTTTGATTTCAGGGTAGATTAAGTGTGCACAGCCAGTTGCAGTGAAGGACACGTGGGCATGCTTCTACAAAGCATCCAAAGAGCGATGCTGTGAATGGCCTCAGAGAGGCTGGAGAAAAGGCTCCACCACAAATTCCTCCTCCCTCCAGACCCTGCATGTTACCCGGCACTTGGCCAAAAGCAGTAGTGATGCTGTCAGAGCCGTGATCAGAGTCTGGAGGAGCTGACTGCACCTTTGCTATCTGTATTTCCAGGCCAGGGGCTGTTAATCTTGGCCGGGAGCAAATGGTCCCAGCATCGGAAGCTGCTCACGCCAGCCTTTCATCATGATGTGCTGAAATCTTACGTGGCCCTGATGTCAGACTCGGTCAAAGTGATGCTGGTAAGAATCACCACTCCTGCTACTTTCACCTTTCATCTGTGCACCAGCGAAAATAATCAGTTCTGGGAATCTGGACTTAGATTGTTCCTAGAGCATCATTACTTTTTGGGTAGTTTTGAAGTTCTGAAATTGCTCCCCTCACCTTCCTCTGGCCATTCCACTTATTGTCTCTTTCATCAGCTTTCCAACAAAATCAACCACTGCTAGAATATAATTTCCTAGCCCAGTAATGGTAAACCTAGAAAAACAAATGTAGAGAAGAGTTTGATTAGGTTCACAGAATATATCATGAACTAGGGCCTCTGCTTGCAGAAAAGAACGTAATTAGCAGTGTGGATCTGGGAAGAGGGACAGGAAAATATGACCTAATCATAGATGGTAGTCTGTCCCTCCTTACCCCTGTCTCCACCACTAGGATAAATGGGAAAAGAAGAACACAGAGAGGAAGTCAGTGGAGCTCTTTCAAGACGTCAGTTTGATGACACTAGACAGCATCATGAAATGCGCCTTCAGTTATAATACCAACTGTCAGACTCAGAGGTCAGTACCTGAATTTTCAAATTCTGGGAAAGCAAGTGTGTCTGTCTCCCCCACTTATGTTGCTAACACCAGCTTTAACCTTGGTTTCCTTACAGAAACTCAGACTGTTACATCAGAGCTGTTTATGACCTGAGCTGCCTTGTGACCAAGAGAATCACGTCTTTTTCTTACAAGGATATCTTCTATGACCTGACTCGTGAAGGCCGTGAGTTTAAGAAAGCCTGCAAGCTGGCCCGTACCCACACAGGTATTTCTCCCCGTTTCTCCCCAGCCCTGTCTCCCAGCTGAACCTCTCCCTGGAGCATCTGGAGCAGCTTGGAGTGGGGTTGCAGCAGGCACTGGCCAGAGGGTTACACATTAAACAGTCCAAGCTGCTAACCAAGCAGGCAAGTGCATGAGCTTTCTGGAGGCACAGGACATGCCTAACGGATTGATCATTCTTCTATACAGATAAGGTAATTAAAGAAAGAAAGATGTTGCTCTCCAGCGAGAAGGAACTTGACAAGATCCAGAAGAAGAAACACGTGGATTTTCTGGACATTCTTCTTTGTACCAAGCTGAATGTTTGAAATAATCATATCAAATACCAAAGAACGTACCTGTGTGGCACCGAGGGTGCATCAGCAGGGAGCTCACCACCCTGGGCTGGAGCTGCTGGCAACAGCTTCCCCACTCCAGATTTCCTAGCTCAGGGAAAGGTGGTTTGAAAGTGAAGGAAATACAAATGTGTGAGATCAGTGACTGAACATAAATAGCTCAGACAGATTTTCATCTTCCTTGTTCATTTTCATTGAGCACATGAATAGTTTAAAATAAGTGAGCTGTCAGAAATCAAAGAATGACATCTTTGGAAAGGTTACGAGGAAGCCACCTTGGCTTTAGTCCTCTTAAGAGGTTTTGTTTCTTAGCGTCTGTAGTCTTACCTTCACAGAAATCTTCAGATACTCTGGATAAAAGGTGCCATTTGGTCTTCAGGAAGGAGATACGCTCTGTACTCACTCTGTCCTTCTGAAGCCACTGCTTTCTTTTGTGTCTGAACCTGAAAAAAAAAGTCACCCAAGCCACACTACTGAAAAACATAACAGGAACCCTTGATAGAGGACCAGATACGGTGTCCTTCTGAAGGGCTGGGATCTGGTAACCCACCAAAGCCCAGCGCTATAACTCTGTTGACTGCAGAGTTGGCAATCAGCAGGTCTGACTGTTCTCACATCTATTGGATATATTTTCTACTGGCTTACTTCCTGGTGTCCAGGGAGATACAAGAGACACCAAATCAGGCCCTTCTTCATCAGCATCTGGGGTTATTTTTATACCCAAAGTAGCAAGTTCAATTAATGTGCACTTGAGAATGATATACTGTCCTCTTTGTTAGGATGCAAATGGAGTTGGGCTATCTGATGAGGATCTACAAGCCGAGGTGGACACATTCATGTTTGCGGGTCATGATACCACAGCCAGCGGGATCTCCTGGCTCTTCTACTGCCTGTCATTATATCCAGAGTATCAGCAACAGTGCAGGGAGGAGATCCAGGAGATCTTGGGAGACCGAGATACCATTGAGTGGTGAGCTAGGACTTCTTATTCCTTTACTTTGAATTCTTTTCACTCATCCCGAGAAGGGAACTTCATCCACCTTATACTGCATCTGCACTGGGGCATTCTGCTTTTCATGTACCAATGCTGGCAGCAAAGGGAGGACTAGGAAAAGGAGAAAACCCAGCAGGAGATGGGAGATATGATGGTTCAGCCTATCCAGTTCCCATTGCTGGTGTCCTCATTGGTGCCACTCAAACACAGCCTGACCTCTCCGATTTGCTTTCAGGGATGACCTTGGGAAGATGACCTACACCACAATGTGCATCAAAGAGAGCTTGCGCCTGTTTCCACCAGTTCCTTTTGTGTCCCGATACCTCTCTAAACCTGTCACATTTTCTGATGGACGCAGCTTGCCAGCAGGTCTGTTGAGTTTGTCCATCCTTCATGCTGCTGTCCATGACAAGCGGGGCATCCTCACTAGAGCTGCTGTGTGGAGGGGCTGCTGGGGCTTCCAGCCTCTCTTCTCTCTCCAAAGGCCTGTACAGTCACCCCAGCTCACCAGGATGGCTGTCCCAGAAGGGTGGCTAGAGAGAGTCCAAGGATATGCTCCAGGGCACTGGGGTGGTCGCAGAGATCAAAGGGGACTTGCAGAGCGTTGATCCTGGCCAAGAGTAAAAGCTCATCCACCAGTACCAAAGTGGGTCCCAGCTCTGAGGTCAATGTTTCTTCCATGTGAGGGTTTCAGGAGATGACCCACCTGGGCAGGCTGGGCATTGTCCCTGCCAGATCTCCTGCAACAGCCCCTGCAGAGCCCAGGGAGGTAGAGCATCCCACAAACACCTCTCCTGGGTCTTCAGTCTGAGATGTCATGAACTTTTTTTCATTTTGCTTTTCCAGGCTGCCAGGTTGTACTGAGCATATTTGCGATTCACAGGAACCGGGATGTGTGGGACGACGCTGAGGTACTTCATCTTTATAAAAAGAAGGGGCAGGTGATCTCTGAGCCCAGACATCCACTCCCCTTGAACAAGGCAGCCTGCGCCTCCCCACCCTGTACTTTTTTTCCCCTTCTTATTCCAACAGTCTGTATCTAAATGCAAAGTTCAGTGAAGTTATCAAACAACCCAAAGGCTTTGAACATTGTAAAGTGCTGGGAAAGGGTGTTGAATAGTCTGTCTTCATGCACGGTGACACAGAGATACTCAGACTGCTTTCAGCTGCCCTGGATAGACATAGTGTGGCCTGAGAAGTCCCAAGCCCTCCAGGCAGTGTGTGATTTGAAGTTGATGTCTTAGAGGCTGCAAGGAAATAGCTGGGAAACTTGAAGGAGGGTCTGCAGCTGCCTTTCTCTGGAGAGGCAGGATCAGATAACTCTGGACTGGAGGGAATCTGACTTGATCATTGCTGCCATGGATGAGAAAATGCCGGTAGGCATCCTGGGTACTGTAGTGGGTGATGTGGATATCTCCAAGGGGAAGATCTGTAGAGTCACCAGTGCCCTCTTCTCATCCACCTGGTTGGCTTTGCAGAGGGATGAACATCAGCTGCAGCTTCTCTGGGGCAGCAGAGGCCACATCCAGCCCTACCTTGGGGACTGGGGAAGAACCTGGTGCTGCTCATATCAGAGCCAACAGTGACTAAATGGCCTTTTTTGCTCCCACAGATGTATGATCCCCTGAGGTTTTCTCCAGAGAATTCAGCACAGAGGCACTCCCATGCTTTCCTGCCTTTCTCTGCTGGATTCAGGTGGGAGATCCTTCTTCCCTCTCCTTGTAGGCTGCCTTGTACAGGAGACCTAGCTCAGAGCTGAGCTCCTGAGGCTAATCCTCCCTCAGTGCCCATGAACCAAGTTGGCTTGGCCAACTCAAGCAGGCTTTCCATAACAGAATCTCCACCACGCTCCATCAGCTCCAGAGCATTTCCCATGCCCCAAGCTCTGTGGTCACTATAGGGTTTCCCACACTTTTCTTGTGGATTTGTGGGAGGTTTACATTTTCTGCTGCCTGCATTGGGAACATGGGCTCCTTTATTTAGGGGTGAATACCCAGTGTATCTCAAAGCCAAGCTGGGTCCAAGTGTCTGTGGTTCCCACAGAGTTGTATCAATAGACAGATGCAAGATACTGAGGTTTCAGTAACTTGTAAGAAGAGATACTCCACATAGAGCTAAAAATAACCCTTCTGAGGTGTCTGGGGTCTTAGCTGCATCCATACAGCACTTTCTAGTGAAGTAAGCCCCAGTTCTCTCAATCTCATATCTTTCTTCAATGCTTATTAATAAAAAACAGTAGTACCCCATCACAGAGCTGGGTGCATTATGGTGTGGCATCAGGAGATTCCTAGATAAGCTGTGGTGTCATCCTCACAGCAGCTGGAGGTCCCCCAGCTCACGCACGGGCTGAGTCCAGCTCAGGAGCGGTCAGGGATGAAGGCTGCAAGCAGAGCCTTTGTTATTCTCTCCCCAGGAACTGCATCGGGCAGCAGTTTGCCATGAACGAGATGAAGGTGGCGCTGGCCCTGACCCTGCTCCGCTTCGAGCTGTCCCCCAACCCATCCAAGCCTCCCACACTGATAGCGCAGGTCATCCTCAAGTCCAGCAAGGGGGTCCACCTGCATTTGAAGAAGATTCATTGACCTCGTGGGGTACCAGAGCGGGGGGAGAAGCCTTTCCCAAGGACCACCCTCCACATCATAGAAGTTTAAGAGGAGGACACCAGACAGACCCACCCTGGCCACCTTGGACCTCTCCCATATTAACCTCCCTGCCTGCTGCTCTCCAGGGGGCACGCTGAGCCCCCTCACACACACACCAAACCCAGCAGGTCCAGGTCCCATCCTTGCACAGGGAACTGCTCTGCCAAGGGGGTGTCACAGTGCAGCTGTGGCTCGGCCTTCACCTCCTCAGGCATCTTCTGTGTCCTGCTCATCTCCTCACCTCCAGCCTGCCCTGGCACGCTGCCTGGCAGGACTTCTGTCACCTGCTTGTGTACCTTGCACCATTGCCAGTTCCCTGCTCGGGCAGGGTGGTGAACAACACTGTGGTTTACACGGATGTCTAAAGCCTGGACACCACCCGAGAGCAATGTTTCTCCCCTGCCTCCAGCCTGGGTGTGCTGGGGCAGGAGAGCTTCTCCCTGCAGCCACACTGCATGCCATGCACCACCCTCCAAATTATTCCCCCTAATCTGTTCTGGGGCTGGCACTGCGCCCACCATTGCAGAGATGAAGGCCAGCAGTTTTTTCGGCCCTGACACTGACATTTCTTGAGCTGAGGGTGCTCAGGAGCCAGTGCAGAGACCTGTCACCAGCTAACCTGGAGAAAGCACTCAAAACGATGTGTGGTCAGCCTTGTCCTCCTCTTCTCTCTGAAAGGAAAAATAACACCTTGTGGAGGTGGTCCCCAAGAGTGGCTTTGGCTTCCTTTGCATTTGTGGGCTGGGGGGG